AGTTGTTCACTTTCTTGAGGTGGAGATATAGTTTGTTCATTTTATGTTGGATGTGGAAGAGAAGTTGGAGTAGGATTCTTTTTAGCAAAGAAGCTAGTAATGTTTTGCATTTCATTTGGAGTGTGTTTTCTCTTCATTCTGAAATTTGAATAAATATTCAACTAAATCAAGCAATATTCCCCAAGAAAATTATTTACAAAGATCATCCAAATAGAAAATTGACACGATTACAATACTAACTAATAATTAACAAGCTTAAAATTGACAAGACTAAAATCAACAAACTACTAAGCACTAACCAGTCCACACTGTAATCTAATTATAAATTTATAATCCTCTTTACACTAATACTCTAATAGTCTAATTGCTGTCTTATACAATGTCCGGCATCACATATTCACAATTTCACATAATGACATAAACAGATAAACTAATAAGTTCAATTTAACAGTCAAAACACAATTTACACAAATAATGCAAATTCAATGAACATTCACCGTATATACTAATTTTAAGAGACAAAGTAATGCAAATTTGATCAAAAATTCACAAAAAAAAAAAAAAAAGAATCAATTGATGATTACCTACCTTGCTACGCGGAGGCGGCAGGCGCTGATTGAGGCGAGCAGCGGAGCAGGCGGAGTAGCACTGCAGCAGGGCCACGGCCAGCACTCAGCAAGTCAGCAGCACAGCCCGCACAGGCGGCACAGCAGTCAGCAGAGTAGGCGACGAGGCGTGAGTTAAATTGCGTTAACTACAAATCAACCAAAGTTTAAACCAAAGTTTAATAAAATTAACTAATTAGACTGAATTAAATTGAAGATTAGAAATTAAAAAAAAAATTAGAAATCAACTTACTAGGCACTAGCGATTTCGAAATGCGAAGACTAGAGGCGCTGAGGCGAAGAGGACGGAGTCCACCGTCCACGGAGACGGAGCAGGCGACTGCCGACTAGACGGAGACGGAGCAACCAGATCGGCAGTCGGCAGAGAACGGTGGCTGGGTGGGGAACTGGAGATGAAGCGAAGAGGCGAAGAGAACTAGAGAAGAAGGCTAGGGTTTGAACTTTGAGGAAGACAGTAACTCGGGAAGACGGGAAGCTAATGTTAGTTTTTTTTTTTTTTTTTTTTTAAAATAACTAAAAAAAATTTTGGGCCCTGGTGGGTCACACGTGACCCACAGGCACAAGCCCAGGTGCGCCACTGATTATAAAAGAAAAAATATTTTTTTAAAAATCTTGACCAATCAAATTATGATGCGTGTCAATTGTAACCTGTAAAATAGGTCATCGATTTTTTGTTCTATTAATAGCAGATATGCATTAAAGGTGGTATTATTTTGAAATAAACAAAAGGTTGTTCTATTTATATGGAAGATGGCTGAAAGGTTGTATTATTCACGACAAATTTCCAAAATAAAATGAAACCGAGGTAATAGTAATATATACTCTCAAATGCATGTATTAATATGTAGTGGTGAGCAAAAATTCACGGTATCCTAAATCAAAATCGAAATCGAAATCTGTTAGGAACCGTAGGTTTCGGTTCCGGGTAGCAAAATGGAGAATCCGTTGCAACAGGTTTTGGTTCACAATTTTTTGGAATCAAAGCCTGTAGGGTATCTAGTAACCTGATAAAAGTATCACTTAATTTTAAATCATACATCAATTCATGCCCAATTTTTAATAAATAAAAAAAAAATACTTTGTTTATAATAGTTATAAATATATACTCCCTCCATGTTTTAATAAGTGTTACACTTTGACCGACACATAGTTTTAAGCAATTTAATTGACTTAAATAAAATAAGAGGTAAGTGATGGGGTGGTTGAAGTATTAAAAAATTGTAAAAGAAATATAATGGAGTTAATAGTTTATCGAAAAGTAATGAATGTGAGAGTGAAGAAATAATAAAAAAAAAATTAAAAAAAAAGTAACAGTGAATTTGAGTAGGAATCATAAAAGGAGAAAGATATAGTATTAAAATGTAGTTTTTTTTTTGCCAAAAAATAAAGTAAAACTTATTAAAATATGGCTACATTTGATAAGTGTAACACTTATTAAAACACGAAGGGGGTATACTAAATTTGCCAAACAACTATTTTTGGTTTGTCGTATTTGCAAGTTGTAAGAGTTAAAAATTTATGACCCTCCAAAATTTTTTGAAAAAAAAAAAAAAAACCTAAATGATAAGGTTTCGGTTTCTTTCTCAAAAAAAAAAGGTTCCAGTTCCGATTCCCATGAGGAACTTGTTGCAACAGGTTACAGTTCCGATTTCGGGAATTCCAATAGGGTGCCCTGTTATGCTCACCCCTATTAATATGACTATTAAATCAAAATCAAGTCTTGAGAATCTTGAGATTATTAAAATCCTACTCCGTATCATATCGAGTTGTTGTGTGTTTTATGGAGTTAATGTGCGTTTTACAACTTCATCGACTAAAAAGCCGATTTATCATCCGCCTTGTTTGGCAAATGACTGTTGGCTATTGCCGGTTGGCTGGTTCACTTGGCTTGTTTGACCAGCTGCAATGTTTGACTGTTTATAATGGCTTTTGAAATTGGTTGTTTAAGCTAGTTGTTTATAAAAGCGTTGGGTAAATTTAGTTGGTGGCTGTTTATTAGGTAATTTGTGGGCCAACAAGCCAACAAAAAAAAAGCTACTCATAACTTTTTCATTTTTGACTTAAAAGCCAGCTTTTTCGCTGAATGAAAAGCCAATTACAAACACTTTTATTAGCTATTTGACCTCATAAAAAAAGCCTAAAGCCAAAAAGTAACCAAAAAGCTACTAAAAAGCCATTTGCCAAACATCGCCATCGTCTATTCCTAAGATTGTAATCGATACTCACGAGTCACGACATAACTTTGGGAAATGTTTAAAATCCATCATCATCATTCATATCTGTTTAATATTAATTGAACCACAAAGGCTTTTGGTTTTGTTGCAAAAAGCAGTAAATAATAGTTTAGGTTAAAACATTCAATTTTTAACTAAAAATAAATTTTGTAGAAGAAAGTTTGGCACTAAATTTATAAAGGAAAACTAATCTTACTTGTCATGGTTTTATAAACACCAATTTATTGTGTTGGTATTTTCGATGATTTTGTTTACTCTTAACTAGATTATCCCCGTACGATGCACGATTTAAAAAAAAATATAGTATAAAATTCGTATTTATAATGAATCTTTTCAATTTTGTCATAAATTCATTGGAAGGAGATTTCTTTAAAAAAAATACAATTTGAATATTTCAGGAAAATTTTGGACGTTTGAATTTTTTTTTTATTGGTGTTCCACCCGGTTCACCCTATGAGCTAATCCGGATTCGGAGATTAGTTCTGGATGGTTAGATTCCAGTCTCCTTCCAATTGTTGTTGCGAGGGATCGAACACGGGTCCTCCATACCAAGTGCAATCCCAATCACCATTGCACCAACAACCAATTGGTTGGACGTTTGAATATTAGTGTTAAGGAATTGAGGAGAGGGAATGATATATCTTTAAATCAAAAGAAAAGAATACAGTTGCTATTCAATTTACTATACTTCGGTTTTCTAGATTAAAGTTGTTGAAAAAACTTAATTAGCTTGTTTACGAAGTATCACAAAAAAAAAAAAAAAAAAAAAAAATAACTATCACAAAAAAATGACATCATCAACGATTTTAAGCGGGAAAAAATTTCATAAGAAAGCGACACGTATACAGTTTTGTGGAGAGATGATGTCAGCAATGTTTTGTTTAGTAATAATTAATAGATTTGGTATATTGATTGTTATTACTGTTTACTCTTAATATATTTGATCGCTTATAAGTTATAACTACGTAGTTTCTAATAGTTTCTAACAAACTTTCTAAGCAATCAATTTCTTACACTTAACTTCAATTAGAATCTCGATTTTCTTTAGTTATTTTACTTTTATTAGATTCAAATTTTAACATGTATTAGAAGATGATGCAAATTAAGTGTGCAATTGAAAGGGGAAATAATAGGCCATTGGCCTATCAATTAACTTATAACTTGTTTTGTTAGGGTTAGATTAGGATTGTATAAATAATTGAATAAATGTTATGAATTGGCCAACTCTACACTCCAAAAATCATCCTAGAAAACAACAAATGAAAAACTATCGGTGTACAATATTTCCTTTGATCATGTGCTCAGTTGATCACTGATTTTGTAGCAATTGCAATTTGCAACCGGGCTACTCCAAGTTGACACTGGTCCATGAGTCTTGTTTTCTTCTTCAATGCCTTCCCAAAGTAAAGGCCTTTATTATAGAGCAAAAATACAAATCGGAAGCTAGAAGCACACTGTCTGAATCCATGATATTTTGTTATGTTGCTGCCTGTTTGCTAGTTAGGCTGTCAACTCATTATATAGCATGGGACTGATGTGAGATATGTAGAAAAAAATACCGAGATTAACACTTTGAAGCTGTAAAGCCAATATCATCGTCGTCCACTAAACAGACAAAGACGAGTCTTAAAGAAGTGCCTATCAATCAGTCTCTAATGTCATCTACAAGAAAATTCAGAATTTTGAACCCCTAATGATCAGCCTAAGTTCAGCAATGCTTAATGATTTTGAATGTTGTAATCATTTGAATCATTCTGTGATATTGTGTCGTCAATAACAATCATACTCGAGTTTAATTGACACAGATTTGTGGGCATAATTGCATAATCTGTTTTTACAAAGATAAGAACTATTTAGTTTCAACCTAGCAGTACAGAAGCAACAAGTAAAAAATAATTCGAAAATTTTGCAGCAGAACTTAAAGAAATGGTAATTATATAGTCTAATTTGTTCAATAAAATTAGCAAAAGATTTACTCCAGGTACAAGGTCCAAGGTGACCAGCTACAAAAGTTCATGGACAAATATTAAAAATGAAGTGAACCTGTATTCTCTCATTACTTTCCCTCTCTACACACTAATTACAAAACTATTTTTCCAGAATGTCTATTTACATTACACAAAAACCCCCTTTTCCTATCTTATATACGCAGCGAAGCTTGCCTAAGAGGATGAGCATCTCCATGGTAGAGACCAAGATGGTACATAGCCTTGACAATCAATTCTCTCAACTGAGGATACTGAGCAGTAAGATTTCGATCAGTCCCCTCTAGGGCGGTCAGAAGCCTAGCTCGTTCTAATGCCTCGCTGTTGCCAGCGTTTATAGCAAGGTGACAAAGGAGAACCAATCCATTTACTTGAGCCCTCTCGCTTTCCCTAAGCAATCTCAACAAAGGAACTACCCCATCAAACTCGATGATCGCCTTAGAATGTTCATGACACAGGAAATTCTCCGGATCAACAAACTTTGCTAGAGCAACAGCAGCCTCAGTACCAACCTCATGATTATTACTGCTAAGCTGCTCAACCAAAGGCCCGATTACTCGAGTCTCTTTTGCAGAGAATGTCCTAGAAAGACATCCAATTGATTTTATAGCTGCAATTTGCAAAGCAGGATCACTAGACTCTTTGATCACCCTTACAAGCTGCACCACCACTGCCTTACCAGCAGGGGAACTCGTCTTGAAAGCCGACCTTCGAAGGTCAGCTTTCGATTCAGCAGCCAATGTAATCTCCATTACAGCCATTACACAAATCTTCCTCAACTCCCCTGTTTCTCTCTCAATCAACTTAGCCAAACTAAGCAACCCTTTTGTCTCAGTAATCCTATGACTGTTCGCAACACTATCATTAGCAAGCATCCAAAGTGCCTTAGCACAGCTAATCTTAAGCTCCATCTTAACCTCAGCACTCTCATTCCCTCTTCCCTTCCTAGTCTGCCCTCCTTTACTAACCCCAACATCCGAATACAACGATGAAAACGACGAATAAATCGAATTCAGCTTCGGTTTCCACGACTCTCCTCCTATCCTCTCCTTTTCCCTCTCTTTCTCCCTATTAATCTGAACAATAGGTTTTGGTTCACAATTTTTTGGAATCAAAGCCTGTAGGGTATCTAGTAACCTGATAAAAGTATCACTTAATTTTAAATCATACATCAATTCATGCCCAATTTTTAATAAATAAAAAAAAATACTTTGTTTATAATAGTTATAAATATATACTCCCTCCATGTTTTAATAAGTGTTACACTTTGACCGACACATAGTTTTAAGCAATTTAATTGACTTAAATAAAATAAGAGGTAAGTGATGGGGTGGTTGAAGTATTAAAAAATTGTAAAAGAAATATAATGGAGTTAATAGTTTATCGAAAAGTAATGAATGTGAGAGTGAAGAAATAATAAAAAAAAAATTAAAAAAAAAAAGTAACAGTGAATTTGAGTAGGAATCATAAAAGGAGAAAGATATAGTATTAAAATGTAGTTTTTTTTTTGCCAAAAAATAAAGTAAAACTTATTAAAATATGGCTACATTTGATAAGTGTAACACTTATTAAAACACGAAGGGGGTATACTAAATTTGCCAAACAACTATTTTTGGTTTGTCGTATTTGCAAGTTGTAAGAGTTAAAAATTTATGACCCTCCAAAATTTTTTGAAAAAAAAAAAAAAAACCTAAATGATAAGGTTTCGGTTTCTTTCTCAAAAAAAAAAGGTTCCAGTTCCGATTCCCATGAGGAACTTGTTGCAACAGGTTACAGTTCCGATTTCGGGAATTCCAATAGGGGGCCCTGTTATGCTCACCCCTATTAATATGACTATTAAATCAAAATCAAGTCTTGAGAATCTTGAGATTATTAAAATCCTACTCCGTATCATATCGAGTTGTTGTGTGTTTTATGGAGTTAATGTGCGTTTTACAACTTCATCGACTAAAAAGCCGATTTATCATCCGCCTTGTTTGGCAAATGACTGTTGGCTATTGCCGGTTGGCTGGTTCACTTGGCTTGTTTGACCAGCTGCAATGTTTGACTGTTTATAATGGCTTTTGAAATTGGTTGTTTAAGCTAGTTGTTTATAAAAGCGTTGGGTAAATTTAGTTGGTGGCTGTTTATTAGGTAATTTGTGGGCCAACAAGCCAACAAAAAAAAAGCTACTCATAACTTTTTCATTTTTGACTTAAAAGCCAGCTTTTTCGCTGAATGAAAAGCCAATTACAAACACTTTTATTAGCTATTTGACCTCATAAAAAAAGCCAAAAGCCAAAAAGTAACCAAAAAGCTACTAAAAAGCCATTTGCCAAACATCGCCATCGTCTATTCCTAAGATTGTAATCGATACTCACGAGTCACGACATAACTTTGGGAAATGTTTAAAATCCATCATCATCAGCCATATCTGTTTAATATTAATTGAACCACAAAGGCTTTTGGTTTTGTTGCAAAAAGCAGTAAATAATAGTTTAGGTTAAAACATTCAATTTTTAACTAAAAATAAATTTTGTAGAAGAAAGTTTGGCACTAAATTTATAAAGGAAAACTAATCTTACTTGTCATGGTTTTATAAACACCAATTTATTGTGTTGGTATTTTGGATGATTTTGTTTACTCTTAACTAGATTATCCCCGTACGATGCACGATTTAAAAAAAAAATATAGTATAAAATTCGTATTTATAATGAATCTTTTCAATTTTGTCATAAATTCATTGGAAGGAGATTTCTTTAAAAAAAATACAATTTGAATATTTCAGGAAAATTTTGGACGTTTGAATTTTTTTTTTTATTGGTGTTCCACCCGGTTCACCCTATGAGCTAATCCGGATTCGGAGATTAGTTCTGGATGGTTAGATTCCAGTCTCCTTCCAATTGTTGTTGCGAGGGATCGAACACGGGTCCTCCATACCAAGTGCAATCCCAATCACCATTGCACCAACAACCAATTGGTTGGACGTTTGAATATTAGTGTTAAGGAATTGAGGAGAGGGAATGATATATCTTTAAATCAAAAGAAAAGAATACAGTTGCTATTCAATTTACTATACTTCGGTTTTCTAGATTAAAGTTGTTGAAAAAAACTTAATTAGCTTGTTTACGAAGTATCACAAAAAAAAAAAAAAAAAAAAAAAAAATAACTATCACAAAAAAATGACATCATCAACGATTTTAAGCGGGAAAAAATTTCATAAGAAAGCGACACGTATACAGTTTTGTGGAGAGATGATGTCAGCAATGTTTTGTTTAGTAATAATTAATAGATTTGGTATATTGATTGTTATTACTGTTTACTCTTAATATATTTGATCGCTTATAAGTTATAACTACGTAGTTTCTAATAGTTTCTAACAAACTTTCTAAGCAATCAATTTCTTACACTTAACTTCAATTAGAATCTCGATTTTCTTTAGTTATTTTACTTTTATTAGATTCAAATTTTAACATGTATTAGAAGATGATGCAAATTAAGTGTGCAATTGAAAGGGGAAATAATAGGCCATTGGCCTATCAATTAACTTATAACTTGTTTTGTTAGGGTTAGATTAGGATTGTATAAATAATTGAATAAATGTTATGAATTGGCCAACTCTACACTCCAAAAATCATCCTAGAAAACAACAAATGAAAAACTATCGGTGTACAACATTTCCTTTGATCATGTGCTCAGTTGATCACTGATTTTGTAGCAATTGCAATTTGCAACCGGGCTACTCCAAGTTGACACTGGTCCATGAGTCTTGTTTTCTTCTTCAATGCCTTCCCAAAGTAAAGGCCTTTATTATAGAGCAAAAATACAAATCGGAAGCTAGAAGCACACTGTCTGAATCCATGATATTTTGTTATGTTGCTGCCTGTTTGCTAGTTAGGCTGTCAACTCATTATATAGCATGGGACTGATGTGAGATATGTAGAAAAAAATACCGAGATTAACACTTTGAAGCTGTAAAGCCAATATCATCGTCGTCCACTAAACAGACAAAGACGAGTCTTAAAGAAGTGCCTATCAATCAGTCTCTAATGTCATCTACAAGAAAATTCAGAATTTTGAACCCCTAATGATCAGCCTAAGTTCAGCAATGCTTAATGATTTTGAATGTTGTAATCATTTGAATCATTCTGTGATATTGTGTCGTCAATAACAATCATACTCGAGTTTAATTGACACAGATTTGTGGGCATAATTGCATAATCTGTTTTTACAAAGATAAGAACTATTTAGTTTCAACCTAGCAGTACAGAAGCAACAAGTAAAAAATAATTCGAAAATTTTGCAGCAGAACTTAAAGAAATGGTAATTATATAGTCTAATTTGTTCAATAAAATTAGCAAAAGATTTACTCCAGGTACAAGGTCCAAGGTGACCAGCTACAAAAGTTCATGGACAAATATTAAAAATGAAGTGAACCTGTATTCTCTCATTACTTTCCCTCTCTACACACTAATTACAAAACTATTTTTCCAGAATGTCTATTTACATTACACAAAAACCCCCTTTTCCTATCTTATATACGCAGCGAAGCTTGCCTAAGAGGATGAGCATCTCCATGGTAGAGACCAAGATGGTACATAGCCTTGACAATCAATTCTCTCAACTGAGGATACTGAGCAGTAAGATTTCGATCAGTCCCCTCTAGGGCGGTCAGAAGCCTAGCTCGTTCTAATGCCTCGCTGTTGCCAGCGTTTATAGCAAGGTGACAAAGGAGAACCAATCCATTTACTTGAGCCCTCTCGCTTTCCCTAAGCAATCTCAACAAAGGAACTACCCCATCAAACTCGATGATCGCCTTAGAATGTTCATGACACAGGAAATTCTCCGGATCAACAAACTTTGCTAGAGCAACAGCAGCCTCAGTACCAACCTCATGATTATTACTGCTAAGCTGCTCAACCAAAGGCCCGATTACTCGAGTCTCTTTTGCAGAGAATGTCCTAGAAAGACATCCAATTGATTTTATAGCTGCAATTTGCAAAGCAGGATCACTAGACTCTTTGATCACCCTTACAAGCTGCACCACCACTGCCTTACCAGCAGGGGAACTCGTCTTGAAAGCCGACCTTCGAAGGTCAGCTTTCGATTCAGCAGCCAATGTAATCTCCATTACAGCCATTACACAAATCTTCCTCAACTCCCCTGTTTCTCTCTCAATCAACTTAGCCAAACTAAGCAACCCTTTTGTCTCAGTAATCCTATGACTGTTCGCAACACTATCATTAGCAAGCATCCAAAGTGCCTTAGCACAGCTAATCTTAAGCTCCATCTTAACCTCAGCACTCTCATTCCCTCTTCCCTTCCTAGTCTGCCCTCCTTTACTAACCCCAACATCCGAATACAACGATGAAAACGACGAATAAATCGAATTCAGCTTCGGTTTCCACGACTCTCCTCCTATCCTCTCCTTTTCCCTCTCTTTCTCCCTATTAATCTGAACAATAGGTTTTGGTTCACAATTTTTTGGAATCAAAGCCTGTAGGGTATCTAGTAACCTGATAAAAGTATCACTTAATTTTAAATCATACATCAATTCATGCCCAATTTTTAATAAATAAAAAAAAATACTTTGTTTATAATAGTTATAAATATATACTCCCTCCATGTTTTAATAAGTGTTACACTTTGACCGACACATAGTTTTAAGCAATTTAATTGACTTAAATAAAATAAGAGGTAAGTGATGGGGTGGTTGAAGTATTAAAAAATTGTAAAAGAAATATAATGGAGTTAATAGTTTATCGAAAAGTAATGAATGTGAGAGTGAAGAAATAATAAAAAAAAAATTAAAAAAAAAAAGTAACAGTGAATTTGAGTAGGAATCATAAAAGGAGAAAGATATAGTATTAAAATGTAGTTTTTTTTTTGCCAAAAAATAAAGTAAAACTTATTAAAATATGGCTACATTTGATAAGTGTAACACTTATTAAAACACGAAGGGGGTATACTAAATTTGCCAAACAACTATTTTTGGTTTGTCGTATTTGCAAGTTGTAAGAGTTAAAAATTTATGACCCTCCAAAATTTTTTGAAAAAAAAAAAAAAACCTAAATGATAAGGTTTCGGTTTCTTTCTCAAAAAAAAAAGGTTCCAGTTCCGATTCCCATGAGGAACTTGTTGCAACAGGTTACAGTTCCGATTTCGGGAATTCCAATAGGGGGCCCTGTTATGCTCACCCCTATTAATATGACTATTAAATCAAAATCAAGTCTTGAGAATCTTGAGATTATTAAAATCCTACTCCGTATCATATCGAGTTGTTGTGTGTTTTATGGAGTTAATGTGCGTTTTACAACTTCATCGACTAAAAAGCCGATTTATCATCCGCCTTGTTTGGCAAATGACTGTTGGCTATTGCCGGTTGGCTGGTTCACTTGGCTTGTTTGACCAGCTGCAATGTTTGACTGTTTATAATGGCTTTTGAAATTGGTTGTTTAAGCTAGTTGTTTATAAAAGCGTTGGGTAAATTTAGTTGGTGGCTGTTTATTAGGTAATTTGTGGGCCAACAAGCCAACAAAAAAAAAAGCTACTCATAACTTTTTCATTTTTGACTTAAAAGCCAGCTTTTTCGCTGAATGAAAAGCCAATTACAAACACTTTTATTAGCTATTTGACCTCATAAAAAAAGCCAAAAGCCAAAAAGTAACCAAAAAGCTACTAAAAAGCCATTTGCCAAACATCGCCATCGTCTATTCCTAAGATTGTAATCGATACTCACGAGTCACGACATAACTTTGGGAAATGTTTAAAATCCATCATCATCAGCCATATCTGTTTAATATTAATTGAACCACAAAGGCTTTTGGTTTTGTTGCAAAAAGCAGTAAATAATAGTTTAGGTTAAAACATTCAATTTTTAACTAAAAATAAATTTTGTAGAAGAAAGTTTGGCACTAAATTTATAAAGGAAAACTAATCTTACTTGTCATGGTTTTATAAACACCAATTTATTGTGTTGGTATTTTGGATGATTTTGTTTACTCTTAACTAGATTATCCCCGTACGATGCACGATTTAAAAAAAAAATATAGTATAAAATTCGTATTTATAATGAATCTTTTCAATTTTGTCATAAATTCATTGGAAGGAGATTTCTTTAAAAAAAATACAATTTGAATATTTCAGGAAAATTTTGGACGTTTGAATTTTTTTTTTTATTGGTGTTCCACCCGGTTCACCCTATGAGCTAATCCGGATTCGGAGATTAGTTCTGGATGGTTAGATTCCAGTCTCCTTCCAATTGTTGTTGCGAGGGATCGAACACGGGTCCTCCATACCAAGTGCAATCCCAATCACCATTGCACCAACAACCAATTGGTTGGACGTTTGAATATTAGTGTTAAGGAATTGAGGAGAGGGAATGATATATCTTTAAATCAAAAGAAAAGAATACAGTTGCTATTCAATTTACTATACTTCGGTTTTCTAGATTAAAGTTGTTGAAAAAACTTAATTAGCTTGTTTACGAAGTATCACAAAAAAAAAAAAAAAAAAAAAAAAAAAAATAACTATCACAAAAAAATGACATCATCAACGATTTTAAGCGGGAAAAAATTTCATAAGAAAGCGACACGTATACAGTTTTGTGGAGAGATGATGTCAGCAATGTTTTGTTTAGTAATAATTAATAGATTTGGTATATTGATTGTTATTACTGTTTACTCTTAATATATTTGATCGCTTATAAGTTATAACTACGTAGTTTCTAATAGTTTCTAACAAACTTTCTAAGCAATCAATTTCTTACACTTAACTTCAATTAGAATCTCGATTTTCTTTAGTTATTTTACTTTTATTAGATTCAAATTTTAACATGTATTAGAAGATGATGCAAATTAAGTGTGCAATTGAAAGGGGAAATAATAGGCCATTGGCCTATCAATTAACTTATAACTTGTTTTGTTAGGGTTAGATTAGGATTGTATAAATAATTGAATAAATGTTATGAATTGGCCAACTCTACACTCCAAAAATCATCCTAGAAAACAACAAATGAAAAACTATCGGTGTACAATATTTCCTTTGATCATGTGCTCAGTTGATCACTGATTTTGTAGCAATTGCAATTTGCAACCGGGCTACTCCAAGTTGACACTGGTCCATGAGTCTTGTTTTCTTCTTCAATGCCTTCCCAAAGTAAAGGCCTTTATTATAGAGCAAAAATACAAATCGGAAGCTAGAAGCACACTGTCTGAATCCATGATATTTTGTTATGTTGCTGCCTGTTTGCTAGTTAGGCTGTCAACTCATTATATAGCATGGGACTGATGTGAGATATGTAGAAAAAAATACCGAGATTAACACTTTGAAGCTGTAAAGCCAATATCATCGTCGTCCACTAAACAGACAAAGACGAGTCTTAAAGAAGTGCCTATCAATCAGTCTCTAATGTCATCTACAAGAAAATTCAGAATTTTGAACCCCTAATGATCAGCCTAAGTTCAGCAATGCTTAATGATTTTGAATGTTGTAATCATTTGAATCATTCTGTGATATTGTGTCGTCAATAACAATCATACTCGAGTTTAATTGACACAGATTTGTGGGCATAATTGCATAATCTGTTTTTACAAAGATAAGAACTATTTAGTTTCAACCTAGCAGTACAGAAGCAACAAGTAAAAAATAATTCGAAAATTTTGCAGCAGAACTTAAAGAAATGGTAATTATATAGTCTAATTTGTTCAATAAAATTAGCAAAAGATTTACTCCAGGTACAAGGTCCAAGGTGACCAGCTACAAAAGTTCATGGACAAATATTAAAAATGAAGTGAACCTGTATTCTCTCATTACTTTCCCTCTCTACACACTAATTACAAAACTATTTTTCCAGAATGTCTATTTACATTACACAAAAACCCCCTTTTCCTATCTTATATACGCAGCGAAGCTTGCCTAAGAGGATGAGCATCTCCATGGTAGAGACCAAGATGGTACATAGCCTTGACAATCAATTCTCTCAACTGAGGATACTGAGCAGTAAGATTTCGATCAGTCCCCTCTAGGGCGGTCAGAAGCCTAGCTCGTTCTAATGCCTCGCTGTTGCCAGCGTTTATAGCAAGGTGACAAAGGAGAACCAATCCATTTACTTGAGCCCTCTCGCTTTCCCTAAGCAATCTCAACAAAGGAACTACCCCATCAAACTCGATGATCGCCTTAGAATGTTCATGACACAGGAAATTCTCCGGATCAACAAACTTTGCTAGAGCAACAGCAGCCTCAGTACCAACCTCATGATTATTACTGCTAAGCTGCTCAACCAAAGGCCCGATTACTCGAGTCTCTTTTGCAGAGAATGTCCTAGAAAGACATCCAATTGATTTTATAGCTGCAATTTGCAAAGCAGGATCACTAGACTCTTTGATCACCCTTACAAGCTGCACCACCACTGCCTTACCAGCAGGGGAACTCGTCTTGAAAGCCGACCTTCGAAGGTCAGCTTTCGATTCAGCAGCCAATGTAATCTCCATTACAGCCATTACACAAATCTTCCTCAACTCCCCTGTTTCTCTCTCAATCAACTTAGCCAAACTAAGCAACCCTTTTGTCTCAGTAATCCTATGACTGTTCGCAACACTATCATTAGCAAGCATCCAAAGTGCCTTAGCACAGCTAATCTTAAGCTCCATCTTAACCTCAGCACTCTCATTCCCTCTTCCCTTCCTAGTCTGCCCTCCTTTACTAACCCCAACATCCGAATACAACGATGAAAACGACGAATAAATCGAATTCAGCTTCGGTTTCCACGACTCTCCTCCTATCCTCTCCTTTTCCCTCTCTTTCTCCCTATTAATCTGAACAATAGGTTTTGGTTCACAATTTTTTGGAATCAAAGCCTGTAGGGTATCTAGTAACCTGATAAAAGTATCACTTAATTTTAAATCATACATCAATTCATGCCCAATTTTTAATAAATAAAAAAAAATACTTTGTTTATAATAGTTATAAATATATACTCCCTCCATGTTTTAATAAGTGTTACACTTTGACCGACACATAGTTTTAAGCAATTTAATTGACTTAAATAAAATAAGAGGTAAGTGATGGGGTGGTTGAAGTATTAAAAAATTGTAAAAGAAATATAATGGAGTTAATAGTTTATCGAAAAGTAATGAATGTGAGAGTGAAGAAATAATAAAAAAAAAATTAAAAAAAAAAAAGTAACAGTGAATTTGAGTAGGAATCATAAAAGGAGAAAGATATAGTATTAAAATGTAGTTTTTTTTTTGCCAAAAAATAAAGTAAAACTTATTAAAATATGGCTACATTTGATAAGTGTAACACTTATTAAAACACGAAGGGGGTATACTAAATTTGCCAAACAACTATTTTTGGTTTGTCGTATTTGCAAGTTGTAAGAGTTAAAAATTTATGACCCTCCAAAATTTTTTGAAAAAAAAAAAAAAAAACCTAAATGATAAGGTTTCGGTTTCTTTCTCAAAAAAAAAAGGTTCCAGTTCCGATTCCCATGAGGAACTTGTTGCAACAGGTTACAGTTCCGATTTCGGGAATTCCAATAGGGGGCCCTGTTATGCTCACCCCTATTAATATGACTATTAAATCAAAATCAAGTCTTGAGAATCTTGAGATTATTAAAATCCTACTCCGTATCATATCGAGTTGTTGTGTGTTTTATGGAGTTAATGTGCGTTTTACAACTTCATCGACTAAAAAGCCGATTTATCATCCGCCTTGTTTGGCAAATGACTGTTGGCTATTGCCGGTTGGCTGGTTCACTTGGCTTGTTTGACCAGCTGCAATGTTTGACTGTTTATAATGGCTTTTGAAATTGGTTGTTTAAGCTAGTTGTTTATAAAAGCGTTGGGTAAATTTAGTTGGTGGCTGTTTATTAGGTAATTTGTGGGCCAACAAGCCAACAAAAAAAAAGCTACTCATAACTTTTTCATTTTTGACTTAAAAGCCAGCTTTTTCGCTGAATGAAAAGCCAATTACAAACACTTTTATTAGCTATTTGACCTCATAAAAAAAGCCAAAAGCCAAAAAGTAACCAAAAAGCTACTAAAAAGCCATTTGCCAAACATCGCCATCGTCTATTCCTAAGATTGTAATCGATACTCACGAGTCACGACATAACTTTGGGAAATGTTTAAAATCCATCATCATCAGCCATATCTGTTTAATATTAATTGAACCACAAAGGCTTTTGGTTTTGTTGCAAAAAGCAGTAAATAATAGTTTAGGTTAAAACATTCAATTTTTAACTAAAAATAAATTTTGTAGAAGAAAGTTTGGCACTAAATTTATAAAGGAAAACTAATCTTACTTGTCATGGTTTTATAAACACCAATTTATTGTGTTGGTATTTTGGATGATTTTGTTTACTCTTAACTAGATTATCCCCGTACGATGCACGATTTAAAAAAAAATATAGTATAAAATTCGTATTTATAATGAATCTTTTCAATTTTGTCATAAATTCATTGGAAGGAGATTTCTTTAAAAAAAATACAATTTGAATATTTCAGGAAAATTTTGGACGTTTGAATTTTTTTTTTTATTGGTGTTCCACCCGGTTCACCCTATGAGCTAATCCGGATTCGGAGATTAGTTCTGGATGGTTAGATTCCAGTCTCCTTCCAATTGTTGTTGCGAGGGATCGAACACGGGTCCTCCATACCAAGTGCAATCCCAATCACCATTGCACCAACAACCAATTGGTTGGACGTTTGAATATTAGTGTTAAGGAATTGAGGAGAGGGAATGATATATCTTTAAATCAAAAGAAAAGAATACAGTTGCTATTCAATTTACTATACTTCGGTTTTCTAGATTAAAGTTGTTGAAAAAACTTAATTAGCTTGTTTACGAAGTATCACAAAAAAAAAAAAAAAAAAAAAAAAAAAAAAATAACTATCACAAAAAAATGACATCATCAACGATTTTAAGCGGGAAAAAATTTCATAAGAAAGCGACACGTATACAGTTTTGTGGAGAGATGATGTCAGCAATGTTTTGTTTAGTAATAATTAATAGATTTGGTATATTGATTGTTATTACTGTTTACTCTTAATATATTTGATCGCTTATAAGTTATAACTACGTAGTTTCTAATAGTTTCTAACAAACTTTCTAAGCAATCAATTTCTTACACTTAACTTCAATTAGAATCTCGATTTTCTTTAGTTATTTTACTTTTATTAGATTCAAATTTTAACATGTATTAGAAGATGATGCAAATTAAGTGTGCAATTGAAAGGGGAAATAATAGGCCATTGGCCTATCAATTAACTTATAACTTGTTTTGTTAGGGTTAGATTAGGATTGTATAAATAATTGAATAAATGTTATGAATTGGCCAACTCTACACTCCAAAAATCATCCTAGAAAACAACAAATGAAAAACTATCGGTGTACAATATTTCCTTTGATCATGTGCTCAGTTGATCACTGATTTTGTAGCAATTGCAATTTGCAACCGGGCTACTCCAAGTTGACACTGGTCCATGAGTCTTGTTTTCTTCTTCAATGCCTTCCCAAAGTAAAGGCCTTTATTATAGAGCAAAAATACAAATCGGAAGCTAGAAGCACACTGTCTGAATCCATGATATTTTGTTATGTTGCTGCCTGTTTGCTAGTTAGGCTGTCAACTCATTATATAGCATGGGACTGATGTGAGATATGTAGAAAAAAATACCGAGATTAACACTTTGAAGCTGTAAAGCCAATATCATCGTCGTCCACTAAACAGACAAAGACGAGTCTTAAAGAAGTGCCTATCAATCAGTCTCTAATGTCATCTACAAGAAAATTCAGAATTTTGAACCCCTAATGATCAGCCTAAGTTCAGCAATGCTTAATGATTTTGAATGTTGTAATCATTTGAATCATTCTGTGATATTGTGTCGTCAATAACAATCATACTCGAGTTTAATTGACACAGATTTGTGGGCATAATTGCATAATCTGTTTTTACAAAGATAAGAACTATTTAGTTTCAACCTAGCAGTACAGAAGCAACAAGTAAAAAATAATTCGAAAATTTTGCAGCAGAACTTAAAGAAATGGTAATTATATAGTCTAATTTGTTCAATAAAATTAGCAAAAGATTTACTCCAGGTACAAGGTCCAAGGTGACCAGCTACAAAAGTTCATGGACAAATATTAAAAATGAAGTGAACCTGTATTCTCTCATTACTTTCCCTCTCTACACACTAATTACAAAACTATTTTTCCAGAATGTCTATTTACATTACACAAAAACCCCCTTTTCCTATCTTATATACGCAGCGAAGCTTGCCTAAGAGGATGAGCATCTCCATGGTAGAGACCAAGATGGTACATAGCCTTGACAATCAATTCTCTCAACTGAGGATACTGAGCAGTAAGATTTCGATCAGTCCCCTCTAGGGCGGTCAGAAGCCTAGCTCGTTCTAATGCCTCGCTGTTGCCAGCGTTTATAGCAAGGTGACAAAGGAGAACCAATCCATTTACTTGAGCCCTCTCGCTTTCCCTAAGCAATCTCAACAAAGGAACTACCCCATCAAACTCGATGATCGCCTTAGAATGTTCATGACACAGGAAATTCTCCGGATCAACAAACTTTGCTAGAGCAACAGCAGCCTCAGTACCAACCTCATGATTATTACTGCTAAGCTGCTCAACCAAAGGCCCGATTACTCGAGTCTCTTTTGCAGAGAATGTCCTAGAAAGACATCCAATTGATTTTATAGCTGCAATTTGCAAAGCAGGATCACTAGACTCTTTGATCACCCTTACAAGCTGCACCACCACTGCCTTACCAGCAGGGGAACTCGTCTTGAAAGCCGACCTTCGAAGGTCAGCTTTCGATTCAGCAGCCAATGTAATCTCCATTACAGCCATTACACAAATCTTCCTCAACTCCCCTGTTTCTCTCTCAATCAACTTAGCCAAACTAAGCAACCCTTTTGTCTCAGTAATCCTATGACTGTTCGCAACACTATCATTAGCAAGCATCCAAAGTGCCTTAGCACAGCTAATCTTAAGCTCCATCTTAACCTCAGCACTCTCATTCCCTCTTCCCTTCCTAGTCTGCCCTCCTTTACTAACCCCAACATCCGAATACAACGATGAAAACGACGAATAAATCGAATTCAGCTTCGGTTTCCACGACTCTCCTCCTATCCTCTCCTTTTCCCTCTCTTTCTCCCTATTAATCTGAACAATAGAGTGAATACTATGATGATTCTTCTTCATAATCTCGGGTTCGTCTTCCAACATCTCGAACGACAACAACGAAACCAAGGGACGAATCACATTCTCCCTCCCAAACTCCTCCTTAGCAACACCACCATCAAATTCAGCCATCCTTGCAACTAATTCCGCCATCTTAACCTGAACCCTCATAGGAGAATCCCCCAAAACTTGAACAATCAAAGGAATACCCAAACAATCAACAATAACCCTAACTCTATCCCCATCATTCGCGACATTATACAACGCCACCGCGGCCGTAATTTGCGCCTCGGCGGAGTTAATTTCCTTCAATAATCTCAACAATGGCGGAACCCCACCTTCTTCAACAATTATCTTCTTGTTACGATCATTATCTCGGGCCAAAAACCCGATCTCATGACCCGCTTCAATTCGGGCGGTTAAAGAAGAACCCATTTGAACAGTCGCTGTATAAGACCAAACCCAGGCTAAAATCGGGTCGTTGCTTGCGATTGGTGGAAGAGACAAAACGACGTCGTCGTTATTGATGTTATCGTCGTTTGCGTCGACATGGAAGACGGAAAGAAGCCAGCGTAAGTCGGCGGCGGAGGTGTCGAGGAGAGAGAGAAGCTTCCGGAAATCAGCGACGGTGATGAGGTTGACGAGGCGGTGGAAGAAGGTGCTGCGACGGCGGCATTTGCGGAGGAGGGTGTGGGCCCGATGAAGGGTTCGAGAAACTTCGGCGGATATGCGACGGAGAGGGCGGTCATAGATTGCGGAGGAGTTAGCGGTGGTGAAGCGGACGAGTGAGCGGAGCATGTGGGCGAGACGGTCGACGTATTTAGCGAGTTCATAGCAGTCCTGTTTGAAGGAGGTTGACTCGTTGGCTAACTCGCGAACTCGTTCAGCGAGTACAATTGGTTCTGAGAGTTGTTCTCCGAGGGGTTTTTCGTCGTCGATTAGCGTCGCCGGGATAACAGTCGCCGACGTCGGAAGTTTCGTCATTTTATGGAGGAGAAAATGAAAAGCGTCAGAAAATGAGAAGATTTTTTTGAATTTATTTTATTTTATTTTGAGGGAAAAGGAAATGAAAGAGTGGATTTAATTTGTGAGAGTCAATTTATGAGTCTACGGATGTCAGTTTCAATCTTTTGGACTCCTTTTGTTTTCTGCTTTTTGCTTTTTGATTTTGGTTTATTATATTTTGATTGTGATGATTATTGTCATTAAATGAGCTAAATGAGAGAGAATTAGAGAAAGAGATATAAGTAGATATAAGTAGGATTAAGGCCTTGTTTAGTTCAACTTATTTATACTTATTTCAGAAAAAATAAGTTCAGATCAGAACATCGTTTTATGTGCAGTTTTTTATCGCTAAATATTCTTAGTTTCGTAATGAAAAAGATTGTGAAAATTACATATTAATAAACTACACATTATTACGAATCTAACAAGATCCCACTTGATATATTTTTTCTGTTATATAAAATCTTTAATGTGAAATGATAAATTTTTAATAATTTAAATCCTAAATCATTATCCATTGTTTTACCATATCTTTTATTTCGATAGAATCACCAACCTCGTCCACAACCAACCTACTACATCAATGGATAAATTGAACTGTGAAATGTTAGCCAAACTGAAATTGATATAAATAAAATCTTTACATTTATATAAAATAAATAAATATATTTACCAATAAATGAAAAATTGTTGCGATATAAAATCAAATTTATGCATTGGAATTTTTTCATCATCTCCAAAAATAATCAAAGTCATCCATATATTAAGTATACAACATCTAATCGTGTGCCATTACATAAACAAATAATCGTTAAGTATCCTAAATAAATACAATGTAACTAATAATTACAAATATAAATTTAAACAAAAGATTTTAAAAATTACTTGGACATTGATGACCTAAAACTAACACAAAATTCGCTTGATGGGGTTTTGTATTGATACGAAATTTTATTTGTGTCGTATAATGTGTTAGATTTGCATGTAAAAAAACATTTAGTAAATAAAACATAAACATATAATCGTTGAGTATCCCAAATTAATACAATGTAAGTAATAATTAGAAATACTAATATAAACATAGGATTTTAAAAATTAAGCTAAAAATTATTCGGCCATTGATGAAATTAACACAAAATTACTAACACAAAATTCGCTTGATAGGGAATTTTATTGATACGAAATTTTGTTTGTGTCGTATGATGTGTCAATTATAATTATAATTATAATTATAATTATAATTATAATTATAATTATAATTATAATTATAATTAATTAATTATAATTAACAAATAATATGTATTTCTTATCATAAATACTATCAAAATTTATCTTATAATGATAGGTATCAAGCTTTATTATAAGCGTTTATCATTTAAATATTTTTTAATATATTATTTTTTGGATTTCTTATACTCGTAGTATTGAATTAATAATTTTATCTTTTCCTATATTTTTACTTTATTTTTTTCATTAAAATAATTTATTTCGTGGATTATAATCTATGTGGCATTAAAATTTGGAAAAATTCATGGGAATAATCCCACCTTTGCGCCGTTCGTTTTTAATAATCCCACCTTTACCCCCCCATTCTTTTTTAATGGTCCCGGGTGACCAGTAACCGGTTGAATAGGTTAATTTTTTTTTTTTTAAAGTTTATTTTACACATATCACCACGTAATTGGTCAAAAAAATAAGTTTTAGTTTTAATTTTGTTTTAAGAAATGATAATTAGCAATTAACATTAATTACTTATTTTTAATAATTTTCTCATGGAAAAAAAAACTAAATATTAAAACCACTACCAGCCACCTCCCTGCCCCACCGTCGTCCTAGCCCCCAGCATCGCCGCGCTCTGACCGTCGTCCCAGATCGGCTGTTAGCCCCGCTCCGGTCGCCACCTTTATTTCGGCACCTTCCGTCGCCTTAAACCACCAAATTCATTTTCGAAATTAAGGCATGGGAAGGAGAGGGGGCCGAAATCGAGGCCTGGAAGGGCAAAGGGGCCGAAATTGGGGCGAGGGGAAAGGGAGGGGGCCGAAAAAGGGATAGGGGAAGGGAAGGGACTCGAAAACGAGGCGGCGGAAGGGGAGGGAGGGATAGGGGGGCGGTGAACGTATTTTAGAGGGTGGTTGGTGGTTCAAGGGGTGGGAAAGGGTGTTGGCGGTTCAATGGGAAGGGGGAGGGCAGTCGGCGTGGCCCTCCGTCGTTGGTGGGCAGGCAACAGGGAAGGCTGGTGGTAGTGGGCAGCCGTGGAGGGTGGTTGGGCTAGTGGGATATTTCTTTTTTTTTTTTTTTTTTTTTTTTTTTTATGAAACAAGTAGTTTCTTAATTAATTAATTAAGTATAATTTTTTAATTTTTTCTTTTAATTTTTTTATATTCTAGGCCAATTAGATTGCGACACGTGGCATGTAACTTGCTATAGCAAGTTAAATGACTGGTTGGGACCATTAAAAAAGAATGGGGGGTAAAGGTGAGATTATTAAAAAGTAATCCAAAGGTGGGATTATTAAAAACGAACGGCCCAAAGGTGGGATTATTCCCATGAATTTTTCCTTAAAATATTAGATATATCAAATCTAATTCGTTACTTTTATCTAGGTGGCGACATAATTTTTTAATTCAAAAATAAAATACAAATCTTTCTTTTTATTGGTCGAAATAAGTATATTTCTTACGTGACGCTCCAAATGCTTTCCAAAAATGTCTACTTTATTTATATATACTAGATTATTTTAATAGTAGTATATGTTATTATAATGGATTAAACTACCCTTAATACCAGCTCTCCTACCTGTTTAATTCCAAGATTAATACTCTTAGCACCACCATCACCACCACCACCATAGCTTACTCGAGGGTTGATGGTCTTAACACGCACTGTAGATTTGCATGCATTATAACGACGACGAAATTAAAATATACTCCCTTTATTTCGGTCCTATATATTTTAATGTTCAGATTTAAACATTAATTAGCTCTTTGGCCCATGCAACGTACGAGTTATTTACAGTATAATAATGTGCTTTTGTTCACCACATGTTATTCTTATTCAACACATATAAAGTTCGAAAGGGAGAGGAAAGGGTGAACATTGATTACTTTGTAAAAGAAATTAAGTCAAAGGTAACATGAAAGAAATGATGTTTATGTTGAATTAACTTTAAGACTACTTATTTTAATATAAATATTTTATAAAATTAGATAAAAACTAGGTTAGGTACCATGTCATACACGGTAATTTTCAATAACTATTACTCCGTACATAATTAATACTACATTTAATTATATAAAAAAAATGAATATGTCTAAGTTATTACTTCGTAAAATGAATTTGTTACGAAAGAGTCTATTATTAGCAAAATAGATATTTTAAAATACTATACAGTATATTTCACTAACAAATTTATATCATTTTCTTCTTGTAAACCAAATGAATATCTTAACAATATGTATTTGTATGCAAATATATAGATTTCTTTTTACACACTATTATTCATTCTCTCTTATGCAATATTTTTTTTTCCAATAATCAATTGACTTAAAATACTTTTTCATATAATTCCTAGCAAACTTTTCATAAATAATTAAATATATAAATCTTTTAAAAAAAAATTCTTGTAATAATGGTAGAGTAGTACAATACTATTTATGTCACAAATCATGTTGGAAATTAGAATTTTTTTTTTTTTTACCATAAGTTTATGTATCAATATATATTGTGGAAGGATACATTATATCTTTTTTATTCTTTTATTTATAATGTGTAAGATTTGTTTCCTAAATAGATTTTAAAATAAATAAATAAAAAAATAAAACTAAGAGACACTCTAGAAAATGACACTTGTCATTTTTGGTGTGTGTTCTAGTATGTAATTATTGATGATTGATTGATAATTGATTGTGCTATTTAAAAACATAATTTAACATACAGAGATATGGAAAATATTTTATTATAGATATGAAAAGTGTGTGAATCAAATTTGCCACAATTATGCTTGGTGAATATTTTGTGTATAAATTATAGTAGGTGGCATTAGAAATTTTTTTATTTTTTTTAAAAAAAAAAACAAAAAGTGGAAGGAGGGATTTTGGAGGGAAAAAATAGCACCAGGAAGTAACATGTGTCATTCTCATTGTCTGTTTTAGTAATAAGGTTATTGATTATTGATGATTGATTGTGCTATTTAAAAACATAATTTTACATACAGAGTAATGTTTATAAGATCTAAAATAATAGATTTGGAAAATATTTTAGTATCAATATGAAAAGTGTGTGAATCGAAATTACCACAATTATATTTGATGAATATTTTGTGTATAAATTATATATAGTAGGTGGCATAAAAAAAGTTTTAAAAAAAAACAAAAAGAGGAAGGAGGGATTTTGGAGGGAAGAAACAACACCATGAAGTGACACGTATCACTCCCGGTGTCTATTTTAGTATTAAGTTATTGATTGATTGATTATTGATTAATTGATGATTAGATAAAAAAATTAAAGGAAAGTATGACATGTGACGATATTAATTTGACTAGATATAACCTAGATATAGATATCTTCAAATTACGCATTATAGCAATTCTATAAATTTTGATCATCAAAAACTATATCGAAGATTGTTTATATGGAGGAGTTAAAGTTTCTCTCTTCTTAAAATGAAGATTGATTTCAAGTGGCCTAGGACACATAAAAAGGAACGAAATAAACATATTACTATTATCACAAATATTGTTATTTTTGCAACTAAATTAATTATAAAATTATAAAAAGTTAACCACCTAGAAATTGAGACATTCACACAATTTCTTAGCCAAGTATTTAACAATAAGCCCTGACATTTAATTAAGAATTACAGTGTAATTTTAAATAATTTATTCGTTTTTATTATTATTATTATTATTATTATTATTATTATTATTATTAACAAAAACCTACATAGTCAAACAATTTACAAGAAATTAGTGGGGAGTCGAGATACAATCTGGGCCCCCACTCCTCTAGCTATAGCGAACCCGATCCCGTTGAAGATGTGAGCAGCTACACGAGCAC